GCATTAAAGTGTGTGTTATTTATGATATTTACGTATGCACGAAATGCGTATTGATAATTATTCATGAAAACTTACAAAGATTTTGGTCATCATTTTTAACTGCGGTGAGTGCGGTGCGTAAATGATTGTTTCGCTGCGTTCACTGCGATGCCTATTCTCGATTACTTCGGTGTCTTTTATACACCGTGCCTTCCCTTACAAGAACAAAGACTCTCTCCCACCGTGATCACGATTTGTTGTACAACTCGCTCGCACACGAGGACACATCCGGAGTAATATATGTATATCAAAATATGTATATACATCGCGTATACTATGACCGGTCTCCGTTTCTGGACTTGGTGCCGCATTTTCATTATTACTCAAGTCTGGTACTGATGTACAATGATAACTTCTTTTCTCTTTTCTTACACGCAGTATACAAATAATAATAGTATAATAATAATATTTGTATATATATTAATTATTATATACATACGATAAGCGCACAAAATTGAGTAGTTAATTATAATATTATTTTCTGCTCAGATGGACGAGCCGACATATATGAGAATAAAGTACGATAACGCAATTGAGTCTAATCTATCTGTCGTAATTGCAATGTTACCGCGGTAAATTGAACATTTTCCTTGTGAAAATCCGAACCTAATCTAAATCTCTCTTTCGACAAATTTACAAAATTGTATCGTGTTGACATAATTGACATTGGACAAAAAATGTGATATATCTTCTTTTAAATTTATTTTTGTTTCCTTTTTTAATTGTGGAAACAAGTATAACTATGTATATTTTATATATTTAAGATATTACATTTGTTTATTTATTGCTCTAATCTAGGATTAATACATTTTATTCCTATATAAAGAATAAATTTCGGATTTCTTTTCCGATCGATTTCGACTTTGTTTCTTTGTGACGAGATCAAACAAGGGATAAAAAAAAGCTTGGGATCAACGTTCGCGATTTGTACCCTCGAACGAATTTATATCTATATATTAAAATATTATAAGTATGCAAACGATCGAATCAAACAGAATTTGTTTTTGTCATCATCGTGGCGAACGATGAGAAAGATCAGAAGCAGGATATATGTATATCTTTCAAGGTTACGACGAGATTGCGATGTAGTTGGACGAGATTCGAGTCCAAGAGTATCCAACTTTTGCCGCCTGCATTAGATCAAGTAATCGCTGCAGACTGAACTCTGAAGTCTGAAGGCTTTCGCTTTCTTGCCCTCTGTTTGCGCGTCACGTCGATGGTCGATCGTCGCCTGTAGAAGAAACTGCGGTAGGTACTCGAAGATTCTAAGGGATTCGATCGCTTCTTATATCTTAGCGATATTTCTTCGATTCGATTATTCAACGACAATCGCGCTTTCCACTTTCGCGCATCTGTTTCAGCATATATCTGTCCAATTGGCCATGCGTTCCGACCTTCCAAAAGTACGTACAGGTACTTTCCTCGGGTAGACGGGTACCCGGTACGTGCGTCGATCTACTTGCTCAAGAAGCTATACGTACGACGTTACGTAAATCGTCGAGTATCTAGATTATCGATGCGTAACCCAGAATGTCATGCTAAAATCGCAACCTGATTCATGATTTGATTGGACTTTGGCCGCGAAACAGGAATATTTCGAGAATCATCATAGAGGTATACCTATATATAATAACTCATCGATCGCAAATCAACTAATTTATTAAATCCAAATGTTGGTAATGTTGGTATATATTTGAAATTAATCAGGTTAATCCTATTATTTGATTAAAGATATACATATATGTATTAGATTAGAATGATATATATAAGTAAATTATACAAGTATATGACATATAGGTGAGGCTGAATAATGTTGATAATTAAATTTTTTCATTATTCAGGATGAAAAATGGATTATTTTCTTAAAGTGAGAGCAAGGACGTGAATTGGCGAGAAAAAAAAATATATCTCTTTTATCAAAAATCTTTTATGACAGGTCTCTGCGTCCGAGATATCTGTCCAATCGAAATTATATAAATGTGGCTGACGCGGAATGGGTCGTTACGTAATCCTCCCTGCCTAGATACGTGGTCGAATACAATGTGTGGCAAGGTTGCACGACAGGGAAAATGATTACATGGAACGCATTCAGATTGGCTTACGGCTACTGGCTGACAATTAGCGAACAGCTCTATTCGTACGCGTTTGATCAAATTAGCACAATCATGAAGCGTACACTATCATAAATTCTTGAATTTGTATTACATGTTCCGTTCCGTCAGATCTTACAAATTTTACTTACTTATCATATATATAAGACATGACGTTATAAAATGCTACGATTAATATATAAAATACTCCTAGAACGTTTCTCGATCGACACATGTATGCACAGAGAGATAAATATGGCACGCGTGTTTCAACCCCCAATTAACACATCAAGATAGAATTGAAAGGAAAGATATGGAAAATCTTTATCAGATGTGTTAAGCTATCGGAACATAATCTCGAGATACGTGAAAATTTCATGAATCTGAAGAAGATGGAAAACATGGATTAATTAATTCGCTATTTTTGGAAAGGTATTTGAGCAACGCATTGAGTTATTAATGCAGGAATAACATTGTTGTTTCGCTAGCCATTAATCGAAGGTCGTTGAATTGTTGCAAATCAGTAACGAAAATATTGAAACGAAGGCGTTGAAAGGAAACCAGCCACTTGAGGATGCTCGTCGTGCTTCCTCGTGTAAGAGAAAGAGAGAGTTGCACTAAGAGGCGCCGTGCTAACTCTCTGCTCGTTTTTCGTTAACCAGGAGGTAGAGGTACCATTGGCCTTGATGATGTACCAGTTGGGGGTCGGACAAAGCGCTATAAAGGCTTTTGCTTTTTCAATCGGAAAGCAGAACCTTTTCTTTCATCGCTTCGAGTAACAGTCTCGATATTAAATCGTTCAACATGTTCAAGCTGGTGAGTTAATTTCTAAGGTTGTAATCCACTGCTAAGCGTTTTAATTATGACTAATTTTTGATACAATCACAAAGTTTATTACTTATTAATTTATTTTTAGAATTTTATTCAATTTTGATTGCATTCAATATTATTATCGTATTACTTTCTTTATAAAAAACAAGACAAGTATATAAATAATGTATATATGTAAAACTTGGAATTGAAAGCGTTGCTGTTTTCTAATTCTTTGCAAATACTGTTTTTATTTGAACATGTTGTAAATATTTTTTGTAAAATGTAATAAAAGAATATGTATGTGTGTGCGTGTGCGCGCATATGTAACAATTCTCGTGTTATTGACAAAGACGTAAACATTAATGCATTTTTCTCCATTTTGATCTTATCTTTCTTCTATCACTACATGATGATCATGTCATGATGTACATTGTATGTACATTGTACGTTAATGAATATTTGGGTGATTAGTTCAATTGGTTCTTTTAGTGCATTCTCTCCGTTCTCCTAACTATCGTATACGCTGCACCTGCACCTGCGCCAGGAGCGGTTCTTGCGAGAGTTCCAGCGCCCATCGTGACAGCGAGTAGCAGCCAAGTGGTCACTAGAAATTACAACACGCTCGCCGCAGCTCCATTAGCTCCGATCGCCTACGCCGCGTCACCTCTAGCAGCTTACAGCACTCACGCCGTTGCACCACTTGCACCTGCTGCATACGCAGGATACGCTGCCTATTCTGCACCACTTTTGCTTTAATCCATCGCGAACCAGGCTCGATCCGCTCGATGCTTCTTGAATCTCTATCGCAAATTTCTATGGCAAAACGATCGATTGACTGTAATTCAAATGTTATCTCATGATATGTCAAATATTTGTAATATTTTCAATAAATCCAATTTTTCCATCTGAATTTTCGTCGTATTCGATCTTTACTCATAATTTAAAATTTACTTCTTTCTAAAAAAAGATTTTCCCTCTTTTCTCTATGATTCTATAATATCAGATAAAGTTTTCTTCATCTGTAAGAAACTTTATTAATTTATTTATTTAATTTTTTTTTTTTAGTCACTGTAATATTTTTACAGTATCATTAGTTTTAGCTATCATATGCATATAATAAAATATTATTATTAGATAGTAACTTTCAAAAAAGCTATCTTTTGACATCTAACATGACCCCCCACCCCCACCCGCTATGGGTGAAAGAGAGGGTAAGTTTAAAATTTTAAATGGGAACCCCCATTTTTTATTGCAGATTTCGCTTCTTCAGAAAAAGTTACACAAATTTTACCTATTACAAACATTTTTTTGATGACAGATGGCGGTGTAATCAGCGAAATTAAAAAATGAGTCTAAAACGTTTAAAATATCTCAAGAAATACTCAACGGAGCATATTCTCACCCTGGAGGTGGATGGGCGGATAACTTTTCGATTTTGATTTTTTCTTTTTCTGTCAAAGATATTATACATACATACATATACCCAATTACAACGAGAGACAGAATACAGAATTTTTAAAAATGGAAGAAATGTTAAGCAAATAATGAAAAAAAAAAAATAGAAAAAATATTAAATAATTAGTTAGAAGAAATTAAACTGATAGAAATGTTAAAAAGATAATTGTCATAAGATAAACGCAGTATAATCGCATTACTCGGTTCACACGCAATACAAATTTTGCTCGGTCTTCCGCCTTATAATGTTCGTTAAATATGTACATCGAGAAAGCCGTAATCAGGGACAGCGAGAATATTGCATTCTGGCGGCGAGATGTTGCATCAAATAGCCGTGAAACACTTGAAAATTCAACCACACACAAAGAGAAATTTCTAATGTTTATTCTATGGGTCACCTTCATCGAAACGACACAAGGTTCTTTCGTACGCGAATCGTACGTTTTCGTACTTTTTCAACAGGGTCGCATACTTCGTTTCCTCGAGACTCAGAAGATTTTCCGGTGGGCAAGTCGTAGCGATGAGTTCAATGAATGAGTTCCATACTACATAATACATATGTATTCATTAGAAACGTTTTTCTGTGCAAAGAGCCCTCCGCAGATGTGAAAATATCTTAGATGATGAAAGTCCCAATAATTTTATAGCACAAAATTCCAGCCTAAACATTAACTTTCTGTGTTTGAACTTTCATACATATGTATGT